GGCCAGAGATGAAGGCTGGAAACACCAAACTTGTGAAAGCTAGAATGTTTTTGATTTCTCTTCTCTGCACTGAACAAGATTTAGCTGGAGGGAAGTTAGCAATCCACTAATTGACATTGAATTAACCATGAAATGCAGTATAACTACTTTTGTGCTGAAGTATACTTCAACAATACTTTAACAAGGCTTTTAATAATTGACTATTACTTCTAACACTTTTATTTATCAAGTGATGTGTCCTTCAAAAGTGTCAGTGACAACATTGCCCTGAAATTTTCCCTTGTGTTACCAAAAGCCATTAGAAAGAATCAAGGTAAAGCAGCATTTTATTATCATTTTTAGCAAAAGGAAGAAAAAAGGTACCATTCCCCCCATTATTCCGAATGGACTAAGAACCAGCCATTGTCCTAGCAATAAAGGTGGATTAAAAAAAAGCCAGTGCACTTGTTGAAAGCTAGCAACTAGAGGAAGGCACTGTGGTATTTTTCCAGATAACCCACTAGATTTACTCTTGCCTCGAGAAAACAAATATTTAGTATTCAAAGGACAGTCTCTTGCATGAACAGGAAGTTAAAATGCTTGTTTGCTGCATGTCTGAGAAGCTGGAAGTGGCACAGACGGCAGCAAGCACAATTACAATCTGTGCAGCTGCATATGCACCGTGTCAACTCCAGCAGGGCTACAGCTCCACACATGCTGAGGAAGATGGTGTGTTTGCTGCATTGCAAACTGCCGGGAAGACGGCAGGGTCGGTGAGTAATGAGGAACCTGGTGCATGGCCCCCCCATCCAACCCAGGACCAAGGAAAAGAAAAAGAGCATCCGGGGGTGCTCAGGTATTAGCAGGCTCAGAGGGCATCGTTGTTTCAGCAAAAGGCCAGCCAGTGGTTGTGCTATTTCTTGTGGTGCCACCAGCTCCTCTTTACCGCAGTGCTATGACCCTGTCTCTGGCCCTTACGACACAGCCCCCAGGCTGGCCAGTATTTCTGCAATGGTGGAAATACCATTCCCAGCGGGGTCACTTTAGGAGCCTTTTCTGTTTGGACGTATCTGAGCCTTGTCCAGGGCACCCACGGCCCCTCTGATTTGGAATTCATTTTTTATAGCGATAATCAGTGTCAGCAAAATGATTTGCCAGTTGCTCTATCATATTGTCCACTTAGCGTACACAGAACCAATGGCCTTTAGGCATCTTAAGAACACATTAGGTTTATTTTCTGATTCAGCCTTTGCAGCGACAGCACTTTAGTGCAGAAGAGAGGACGCTAGATAAACCAATACAGTGCCAGGAATAAATGCAAATAAAGAGCTAGACACATTCAAAGAGGCTAGGTCCATCAACGGCTGTTAGCCAGGATGGGTAGGAATGGTGTGCCTGTAGCCTCTGTCTGTCTGAGGCTAGGAATGGGTGATAGGAGAGGTATCGCTTGATGATCACCTGTTCTGTTCACTCCCTCTGGGGGCACTTGGCATTGGCCACTGAGCTAGATGGACCTTTGGGCTTGACCCAGTCTGGCTGCTCTTATGCCATGAGAGCATGTGAAACATGGGAGCTATAGCAAGTGATCTAGAGGGTGCCCAGCATGTTGACAGTGAAAGGTTCCCAGAATTGTGAGGTACCTTCCTACCACATGCCTTTCACTTGAGGGAGCCTGGTTTGTGCCTGAGCTCCCAAATACCACCAGCCCTTGTCCACACAAATGCTGCCTTCCCAACCGTGTGCACATCCTGCTCTTTCTGTACAGGTTAACCATAAGCACACGCCGACTTCCCAGGGCTCCAAGCAAATCCCAGGAGCATCCTGTCCTTAATCCATGGGACACTCAGAATTCCTAGTGCCTCTGTTCCCACACTGCTCCCCGGTTGTACTGCAGAGCATGGTGCTTTTTGCCATACACCACTCACGGGGTGCGTCTGTAGAAAGTAAACGTGAGTTTGTGTAACACAGAAGAGAGAGGAAAAGGATAGCAAGCAGAAATATGGGAAACAAAGGATACTATACAAAACACAATCATAACAAGTATGCCAGAGACTAAATGTCACTCACAAAGACATTGCCCAGCTAGAAGAGCAAAAAGTCACCCAACATCCTTCCAGCGTATTACAGCCAGGCAAAGCTGTGACTTCCCATTCATTGATTTACTTTCCAGGTAAAAGCTGCAGACTTTGTCTCTACAGTTAGAGCTCAAAAAAATCCATCGTCTGCCCCTGCTACTAATTTTCGTGCACATGCATGTGCACGCGCGTGCGCACACACACAGACATACACGTGTTTTCCTATCTAGAATCTACTCTGGAGATTTTGCAATCACATGATCAGCATTTTGCTCACCCTGTGCATTGTGCTTCACTTGGCTCAGTGCAAGACAGGCACATTGCCCCCATGCATGCTTGGTCACCCTTGTGCACTGCGACCCAGGACTGCATCTGGGTGCATAAGGATTTCTGGGCTTCGCTGGTTCTGATATCCTCATCCTAGTTCACTAGAGGGTGCCGTGTGAGGGCCCAAACAAAAGCCTGTGTCATACTGGTCCTCACAGTCATTGTAAAATGTATGGCTGGGTGGCATATAAGGAATTAAGTCCATACACTGAACGTTGTGTTCTTAAGGTGTCTGAGGCTTGGGGTTGGTTACCCTACAAGTTGAGAAACAGATTTACTTCAGGCCAGTCTATCTGTCTACACCTAAGCAAAATATTGTATGGTCCGCAATGGGTGTACACTTAGGGTACATCTAAACTACATGCCTCCGTCGACGGAGGCATGTAGTTTAGATGTACCCTAAGTGTACACCCATTGCGGACCATACAATATTTTGCTTAGGTGTAGACAGATAGACTGGCCTGAAGTAAATCTGTTTCTCAACTTGTAGGGTAACCAACCCCAAGCCTCAGACACCTTAAGAACACAACGTTCAGTGTATGGACTTAATTCCTTATATGCCACCCAGCCATACATTTTACAATGACTGTGAGGACCAGTATGACACAGGCTTTTGTTTGGGCCCTCACACGGCACCCTCTAGTGAACTAGGATGAGGATATCAGAACCAGCGAAGCCCAGAAATCCTTATGCACCCAGATGCAGTCCTGGGTCGCAGTGCACAAGGGTGACCAAGCATGCATGGGGGCAATGTGCCTGTCTTGCACTGAGCCAAGTGAAGCACAATGCACAGGGGGCACTAGGCAGGAAGCACTGGGCAGGTGGAGCACAGGGAGGAGGCACTATGGCCATATGGCATTGGATGGGCTGGGTAGGGCATTGCGCATCTGGGGAGTGTGCTGTGGGGGGGTTGCCCCGCACAGACACATAAGGGGGTAAAACAGTCCTGAGTGAGGGCTGGGACCCAATCAGAAGAGGGCTAGGAACAGCCAATCAGGGCTCGGTTAGGCCCTATAAGAAGGGCTCCTGGTTAGGAGGAGCTCTCTCTTTGCTCCAGCTCTGGAGGGTGAGGGACTTCGCTGCCGGCTAGCAGGGGTACCTCGGGACAGAGCAGTGCTGGGGAAAGGCAGGATGAGCCAGGGGAGCTCCAGCCTGAATAAACCCCAAGTTGAGGCCCAGTGGCAGGGGCCCAGGGAGGTACTAGGGCTGCAGAGGAGTAGCCAGGACGGGAGAAGGCAGCAGGTCCAGCCTTTGCCAATGATGAATTGGCCAGTTCCAACTGAGGGAAGGGGCTAGGTGAGGAAGGGCAGTGAGTCTTTGAGTCAAGTGGTGGCTTAAGGGTAATGGGGGTTCCTGGAAGGGGAGGACCCCAGAGTGTGGGTGCTACTGCAGGGTAGTGGGAAGAGGATCCACAGTCTGGGAGGGTGTCTACACTAGCCATCCTAGTTCAAACGAGGGTGGCAAATGTAGTCATTCGAACTTGCAAATGGAGCCTGGGATTAAAATGAGGAGTAATGATGGTCCGAATTAGGGGCTTTAGTTCGAACTACTTAGCCCATGCTGCGTGTAGCCGTGGGCAGGGAGTTCGAACTACCGGGCATTTAAAAATTTAAATCCCGGGCTTCATTTGCAAGTTCGAATGACTACATTAGCCACCCTAGTTCGAATGAGGGTGGCTAGTGTAGTCATACCCGGAGGGATGTAGGGCCTGATGGGATGTGGCGGAGAACTGGAAAAAGCAGGTAACAGCAGGTGAGATACCAGCGGGAAGAGGACAGGCTGGAGCTGGGAGAGCTAATTCCCAAGACTGGCCAGTGGGAGATCCGGTGGCAGGGAACAAGCCTGTCCCACGGCGTTCACAGCGCCTAATTATTATGAAATGGAAAGACATTCTTAAGGAAAGAACTTTTCTGATTGTTTTCCGAGTGTTCTCCTAGTGCCATCCCATGACTGGTAAACCTGATGTACCACGCTGCCTACCCTCCCGCACAGCAGTGCCTTCTGCCCCCTTCCTCGCCCTGCACCCATTTAATGGTCACCCATCCTCTGCCCCTCCCCACACTTCCTCGGACACTGAGATCAGCAGACAAGCCCACCCGGGAGCACGGAGGAGGCACGGCAGGCCACCGGAGCTGCAGCCTTATAATGCTCTGGTGGGTGAAGGGTTGATTTTCAGATACAAACCAAACAGCCCCTCCCCTCAGGCCTCCCATCACGTTTCTGCTGCTCTCTGCCTAGATCGCTCTTGCTCACTCTGCAGCCAACACACTCAGGGTTGCTGGTTTTTTTAAAGAAGTTAGAGCACAACCGGTTATCAAACCATCGGGGCTCCCCGAGGGAGGGGAGAGTGGAGAAAGCATGTGACAGTATCACTGGAGGCTCTGAGTTCTCACACGGCGCTTCCATTCAGCAGGCATAGAGATCAAAATAAATTACCCTCTGGCTATACTCCAGATGGCCTAAATCTCCAGTCAAAGCCCACCTGATTACTTTACATTTTTTTCCAGGCTGCTTTCTCTCTATTTACGTGCTGTTCAGCCTTTGCCAGCTACACAGAGCCAGCTGCACCTGGCCTAGGGTGTGAACATCTGGTTCTGACTGTCAGATCCAGCTGCGAATCTTGTGAAGCACAACTCCATTAGATACCAGTGTAGACAAGTGCAGAGCACTGTGCTATGGGAAGGAACAATTGAAAGGACTAATACACCTGAACGGATTCGGAATTAGAGATCCAGGCTTCACCGTGGCTGGTAGAGGGAGGAGGCCTGGGAGGAAGTGTACTCTGTAGCACCCAAGGAAGGAAGGAGAAGCCGGGCTGAGTTGGTAGAGGGTTGGTGAGTGCTATTCCATTACTCTAAAATGATTATATTTTAATCTGCTTTGTTCTGTGGTGCAGTGTCTCAGTTGGTTAAATTAAATTATTGCTATTATTAATCAATGGCATGATGTTGTCCCCTGGAAACCTGGAGTCCAGCTTAGTCCTCACAGTGTAGCAATTGGTCTCTGGCAAGGAGGAGAAGAGGGAAGAGTAGAGGATCAGGGTCTCCTCCTGCAGGCGCTGGGGAACTGGGAACAGCAGCTAGATTAAACTGAAGGGTTCTATGCTACAGCTGCTGCTGACCGTGCGAGGCGGCTGCTGGCTGCACCTCTGTGGCTGCTGCCACCTCTGTCTGAATCACAAGGGACAGCCCGAGGGCGAGAGGCAGAGGGAAGAGTTTGAGGGAGGGGAGAGGGAGGCGTTTACACTTGGAATTGCTGAGGCTTTAGCCTGCTTGTATGCATCATCACTTGGGGCCAGGCCATCTCCAGCTGTCCCCCAGGCAGCGGAGAGAGAGTGGAGGAAAGAGGAGCTTCCCATCCATGCCTTCCACATGGTCAACGTGTCCTGAGCATCTGCCCGAGCTCAGCGCAGGCTGCAGCACGAGACCTGCATTCTGCACTAGCCCCCGGCTTTTGCAAGAGCAGTGCTGAGTGCTGCAGCGAGTGATTGCAAAATCCTTTCCAAAGGCACAGGCCTCGTGAGCAGCTCCTGCCAGGGAAGGACCTGTGCATTCAGCGGCTCCCATGCATGTTCCTCCACTTTCTTCCTGTTAGCTCTGCTGAGCCAGCCCAGCTAGGGAGAGGGACCGGCCGGTCTTCTGCTCCCAGACCAACAGAACTGTTAACGGAATTCCAAGTGCAGGGACAAAGTTTTGTCCTCTGGTAACCTGCACAACCGCGGAAGAAAAGGGTCTACTTTATGCTTCCTTCTCGCTGGAGCCGCTTTTCCTTGGATGCCCCACTCCGTCTGTCTCCCCCTCCGTGCACACCCTTGGGGGGTAAGTTACATTAGCCTCGCTCACCCCCTAAAACAGGAAGCACCAGCAGGCATGCCACTTCCCATAATGCAATGCCTGCTATGCAGTTTACCCCACGGTGGAATTTCGCCCAGGGACTGCCATGCCAGTCACACCCTTGCAATGAGGCTCTCCCCTAGTGTCTCTTCTTTTCTCCTAGTGGGAACAAAGCACGAATTTCCCGCAGCAATGAAGAGCATTTCTTTGTTCCCTTCCTGTCCCAGCACCAGACCCCCAGATTTCAAGACTCCGATCGTGTCCCTTGCACACTAATCCTTGGGGGGATTTTAAGCTGGCGGGGACTCTGTGGAACAGAGATGCCTCTCCTCCCCCCGTGCTTCTGGTCTGGATGCACATACTTGTCAGGACCAGATGGGGAATGTAATTAGAAGGAGCGGTTCCCAGAATGCCTCTCCCATTTTGGCAGCAGATGGAAGGTGTGATCTCAGTTCTGCTGAATTCCACACCTCCCCCTCCCAGCCTCCCACTCACACCTCGCACACGCCCTTTGGAAACACAACAGTGAATAAATCACCCAGGGTGGGTCGCTCCCGTGACTGCCCACAACCCCACTTCATGGAGCTGGTGAACAGAGAAGTTCTCACTCACTTCCTGGAAGAACTTTCTCCTTCTGAAGAAGTGTTTAGAGGCTCAGTGGCCCCACCTCATTGCTCCATTTACCACTTTGCTGGTGAGTCCTGCTTTTGCCCCAGGTTGTGGGCAGTGGTCTATCTGTTCCCACATCCTGGCTTGCTGGTGTTCCCACGTACTCCAATTACACAATCATGGTACTAAAATCGACTATTTCTGTCTTCCCAAGCAATGAAAACCAAAACCAAAACAGCTTCCTTCTCCAACTGACTGCGTTGATACCCTAAGTGCAGGTGGCCTGGCAGGTTCCCTGTAGATCTGCTAATTATTTAATTTCATTTTAATATAAAATATAGACAGTGAGTTGTTGTATTTAACTAAAAACACTTATGGACGGGCCTGAAAGCCAAAAGGTTTAGAAGCTTGTATTATCTTATGGTAAGTCTACGGCACTGGCAAAGCCTTTAGAATTGCTGCATAAATTGAGGGAAATTTCACACTGTCGATGGATTAAGATTTAAGACCAGAAGGGCCCTCTGCAATCACCTAGACTGATGTCCTTCTACCTGCCATACAACTTCCCCAAAATAATTTTGCAAAGGAGAGTCCAAAAAATCTGCCCAGCTCCAATAAATTAATTTGTTTGGCAAATCAGGAACTTGGGAACTCTTGGTAACCAAGCAGAGTCCCTGGAAACACAATTTATAAAGGTCCTGTTGTAGGTACAGGCAACTTCCTAAGGCAGTACTCATATGAACTCTTACACACGACAGTCCCACTGGGTTCACAACACCTGATGTTTTCACTGTAAGTTACTTATCCATTACGGTCTTTTCTGATTAGAGTGTGCATTATTTTGGGGGCAGAAATGGTTAGTTTTGTGTTTATACAGAACCTAGCACAATGGGACCTCAATCCTGAGGTCCAATTAGTCATAATCTCATCTACATGCCTAATTATATTTGCGGATGCCTCCCCCTTGCACAGTATCCAGTGACAACCAATCTTTTTGCCTAAACCCTCCCCAGGGTTGCATCTGGGTTGTTCAGAAACTGTCCCCCTGAAGCTCCTGCCCTTTTCATCCGCATCCTATGGGAAGCAGCGCATGTGTCATATACAATGCAGATGGAAATGTTGCTAACTAAAAAACCCCCCCCCCCAAAAAAAAACCGAAACAGAAAACCCCAACAACAACAAAAAACAAAATGCAGCCTCTTCCACCCCAGCCAAACCCAACTTCTCACCCATCTAGCCTTTGTACCACTCCCTCCCCCAAAGCAAATCAGAAGCTAGTAATAGTATAAACATAACAAACTAAGCCTGTCTAGATCATGCATCCAATCCCATGCATAGCAAAGAGTGGATTGAACCTTAATTTCTTTCTGGTCAGCACTTACTGTACACGGAATACTAGATTAACGGCCATTTTTGTCTGGTCAACCAAACAATGCAAATGCAAAACCTGCGCTCTGTTTCTCCTATTTGCAATCCAGTGAAAGTCCACGTCAGCTGAAGGACAAGGATCGCACAGAGCGGTGGACTTGTGGCATTTATCTTCCCTGAATGTACCTAATGAAGCCCAAATGACAAAAGGTGATGTACTGTATGCCTTTTAGCTCATTAATAAATAAGCGTATTTATCTCCTAAATCAGATGTGACTTGCACCACAACACCCGTAATTAAATTAAATATTGATGTGTGATGGTGGTGTGCCGAGGCTGCTTGGTAAGTGGAATTGCCATATCTAATTAACATCTTGCAGAAGTGGCCCCATTAGGGTTGTTAGTTAATCCTCCAAATGGTAATACTAGCAAAAGTGTAACTAATGCTCAACCACCCTAATGATTAGGAAGCTCATTAAGTTTTGACTAACACCCCCTTGTTTTGGACGGCTGATCTGACCTCACGCCGTCGTAAAGTCGTGGGCTGTTTGGGCGTGGGGCTGGTGATGCTTTGCTTTCACGTCTCAAGGAGACTTGCTGCTTATTGGTTCTTGGAGTGAGTGCACGGTAGCATGATAGGGTTAGAGATCCCTGGAGCAATCCATACCGAGATTCTTTTAATAAGTCTCCAAACCCACCCACTGTACCCAAGAGCAGAGGTGTGTTAGGGCAGTGGGAGGTGGGGTATACTTGTCCTTTGTCAAGCATGCAAGATTGGCTACTGCCCTAGGTTTTGAAGCTTCACCACCTCCTTACTAGACAGAGACAACTCTCTCCTTGAACGCTCATTGAATTCCAGGGTCTCGTAAGCAGTTCATTGGTGCCACTGCCACTCTGATTACCGTTCGGCTATATGCTGAGCGAGAATACACAATGATTTCACTTGGGATTAAAGGGATCTGAGGCCTGATTTTAGGGAGAACTTGAACTGTTAATCCTCTGTGACTATCACGCCCTTGTATAATATAACCCAAATAGTGGCGGTTATACAGGCTGGCTACGTTACATCATCTGAAGTGATTAATGCTCATGTTCATGTAACTACTACAGATGCTGTTCTCAGCTGTGACTGAGTGAACAAAAAATCGAGTGTATTAAAATGCGGTTCCCCAATTTGTGCTTTCAGAGCTGCTCCAGGGCTGCCCATCCTTCTGAAACATCACAGGAAATAACCTCATCGAGGGCTCTTCCCGCTGTGCTTTAGACTCAAACAACGTCAGGACTTGTGTCCGTCCAGCTGTCTCCAGTGAGGCTACAATTCCATCTTCTAAGGACATCAGAAAAAAAAAAAAAGGACCCAGTTCTTGCTCTTTGCAGCTGGAAAGCGGATGGGCTGGTCCAGTGTATTTAAGTTCTTGATAATGGAGGGAAAGGAAAGAGATTTTATTATCCGTTGCCATCCTTTGTTTTCCCCGCCTCTTTTGCTGCTTCTCCTACAAATCTCTCTCTCCATTCTTTACCCTGTCCTGAGTAACACCAAAGCTGCAGCTCTGATTTAAACGTGCTATCGCGAGTTAAATAAGGAGACAGCTGGCTTGTTTTTTCAAACTAAGCATGCTGACACTGGTTCAGTTCCGTTGTAACCCTCCAGAGCCAATGGAGTCACAACTAGGATGGAGTGGGCCTGTTAACTGCAGCCTCTTTCTTAGACTGGCTATGTCTAGACTGAGGCTTCTTTTGTTCCGAAAGAACTTCTTCCGAAAAAGAGCGTCCACACTGCCAAAGCATATCGAAAAAGCAATCTGCATTGAATGGACGCTATCTTGCATGTAAGCTGTGATTACTATGGGCAGAATGGCCACCAATTTGTGCTTTTTCCTCTTTCCTTTTCCTGTGAAAGAACACCCTCTTCCCCGTCCACACAGGCTTTTTTTCGAAAGAACTCTTTTGCAAAAAGGCTTCTTCCTCATAGAAAGAGGTTTACCAATGTTAGAACCCCTCCTTCTCTTCCCCCCGTTCTTTTGGTTTTCTTTCGAAAGAATGCAATTGCAGTGTGGACATAATTGAAGGTTTTTTTTCCAGAAGAACGGCCATTTTTCCAAAAAAAACCCTCTGTAGTGCAGACATACCCTGAGAGCAAAGTAGGGACATAGCCAGGTCCAGTGATACAATTTTATCTGGAGACTACCTGTAAAAGTAAGGAAAGGGCAGCGTTTCTATCTTCCTTTACATCCTCAGAGCACTTCAAGCATTAGTGGTGTCACCATGGCTGGAGCAGAGCATTTACCAGATGCCTGCTCTCCCTTCAAGTCTTCCCAGGGCCAAGAGTTGTCTGCACATGGCTCTTCCAGACGAGACTATCCAGGCCAAGATCCCACGTGGCTGGGAGAAGACTAAGCGCCCTTGGTGTTCACAGGCCATAAGATTGGTTCCATCATCCTGCACATCCTTGCCCTTGCACAGTGCCGTGTGCATCTACATCGTGGGCTTAGCTGCCCTCATCCACTCAGGGATGGATGCACTTGCCTGCAGGTGAAGTGTGATACCTTTCTGTGCTCACTCTCTGGACTGCTGGCCCTCACAGGCCTCAGAGGAGCACGAGCTACTGTTAGCAGATGAGGGGTCTATCCTCTGACGTCTCATTTTCCACACTGCTCGGGAGCAGCACCAGCGCTAAGCACAATGGACTAGGAAATGCAGCAGGTCCCTGGAGTCCCAGGGGCACCAGACGCTGCTGTCATCATGGAGCAAATCACTTGTACTTGTGGTTCCATTGTCACAGCTAATAACCGTGCACAACTATGCAGAGGAACGTGGGGCCAGGAGGAGCCTCTCTTCTCACCTCTACCCCAACCTCCGAGTCTCCGCATGGGAATGGCAGAACGCAGCAGCCAACTCCGGGGGCCAAATACCCTCAGCCCCCCGCTGCTGCTCTCGGTGACCATGCTACTTCCCGACCTGTTTGCACATTCCCTAGTGACAACCGCCGGCCCGTGTTTGCAGTTCTAACAGCAGCGTGTGGAACCCACCGCCCTGCACAGCGCACACCCCGGTGCCAGCATGCAGCCCAGCCTGTCAGCTTTCTGGGTAGCTCAGATCCCGCAAACCTGAGCCTACATTTTCTTCTCCTTTCCCACATACTCATCTAATCCTTCTTCAGAGCCTCGCTGGCATAATGAGACACAGCTACCGACAGGACTCATTACTAATTACCCTGACCCTTAATCAGCAGTGAAATTAACTTAACATTTCTTACAGGTACTTTCCCATGGCAATCCAGGTCCCTGCTGGCTCTTTCAATAGCTCCCAGTTGGCTTTTGCCGCAGCTCAGCCAGCTCTTGCTGGAGCCGTGCACCAGGGCACCCGCACTTCCTTTCACCTCTGCCCTTCATGCAGCCTTTTGGCTCCCAAGTCTAGAGCCGCTCAGCAGAAGAGCTCTGGCATCTTGCTGCTCAACAGGAGGAGAGGTGGGGTTCTGCAGCTTGCGACTGGCAGGGGGGCAGACTAGAAAAGTGTTTCTCAACCTTTTTTAATAAAGTACCCCTTTAAAAAAATGTAAGTACCCCCTTTAAACATTATAAGTACCCCCAGTACCTACAGTTTTCAGACATACAATTTTTTTTTCTACCATCACAACACATTGGTTTAAACAACTTAATCATAGCTGGGCGGGCGATGAAATTTTTGAGAGTAAAAAGTACAAAAATGATAAAGCGCTGTAAAACGTAAAACAAAAATTCCGTTTTCTCCAAATTTCAGTTGTGTTGATGTACCCCCTCCCCCCAGATGTCTCTTGAGGACACTTGTACCACTGGTTGCGAAACACTGTACTAGAAGATCAAGCTGGCCTCCTCTGAACTTAAAGTCTGAGTCTGCAGCGCTAAATCTCATTCCAGGGGCTAAGAACAGAGGAGACTAAGAAAAGGCTGCTGCATGCCCCGTGAATGGCACCAAGCTGAGTCAGCTGGGTGCAGAAGCTCTTGTTGGCCAGCCACAAATAGACCTTGTAGGCATCAGTAATTTTACAACCCCTCACTAGAAGAGGCACCATGGAAATCCGCCAGGAAAAACCATGACAGAAATGAATCTATTGCTTTTGTTAGGACATAGGGATTATTAGGGATACAGCCACATTTTCCTATATGACAGGATCATATCAGATTACAGGATGACACTCCCTATGCCCTTTAGGTTAGTGGTTCTGAACCAGGGGGACAGGTACCTTTGGGGGTACACAGAGGTCTTCCACAGAGTACATCCCCTCATCTAAATATTTGCCTAGCTTTACAACAGGCTACATAAAAAGCACTAGCTAAGTCAGCACCAAACTAAAATTTCATACAGACAATAAATTTATACTGCTCTCTATAATATATACTGAAGTGTAAGTGCAATATTTATATTCCAATTGATTTATTTCATAATTATATGGTAAAAACGAGAAACTAGGCAATTTGTCAGTGATCCGGGGCTGTGACACTTTCGTATTTTTATGTCTGATTTTTGTAAGCAGATAGCTTTGAAGTGAGGCGAAACTTGGGGGTACTCAAGACAAATCCGACTCCTGAATGGATTACAGCCATCTAGAAAGGTTGAGAGTCACTGGTTTAGGTCCTGTTACGTCTAAGTACTTTCTCAATACACTGATATTACAAATCTCTCTTTCCTAGTCTCGACAAATCAAACAAAGCCCATCGTGCTTATTAAAATTTCAAGAAAATCACCAAATGCTTGGTTTTGTAGCCATGGGCACTTGGTCTCTATAGCCAACACATCAGACACGGAAGGTTCTATTGGTCTGTTTTGTGGTGTGCATACTTACCGTTTTCACTTTCCCACACGCTCACCATTCCATGTATTGGAACCATTCCTCCAGCTGAGGACATTTTGCCCTTTTGCCATGAGACTCAAGATTCTCGGAGCTACTGTCGTGTGATGTAAGCTATGGTGAAACTACAGCCTCTGACAGAAAGCTTAGGTTGCTCAGGGGCGTGAATATCCCACCCCTCTGAGTGACATCAGTTACCCTGGAATAAGCACTCATGTGCACAGCATTATGTCAGTGTCTATTGGCATAAAGGGTATATCTAGACTACATGGCTCCATCGACAGAGCCATGCAGATTAGTTTACTAGACATAGGAAAATGAAGTGGTGATTTCAATAATCGCCGCTTCATTTACATCAAAATGACTGCCGCGCTGTGCCGAT